TATTTGACCAAATTTCCAACTTTACCCTTTAAGACAGGTAACTTTATAAAAAGGCAAAAAAGTGGAATTCATAAAAGGAAAGTACAAATATTTGTGGGACATTTGTAATGGTAGTAAGGGAGTAACGTTCTTGGAGATTAATCTACTTGCCTGAAAAAATATGGAAATGCTTACACTTTGACTTTGTAGGAAACAAATCATCACAAGAAAGCTAAAAAAGCAGATCCCTTAGTGCATTAAATAAATATACCTGAAATAAAATTTGAAATACGTAACCAAAAAGACCCATACTTTTTGGAACGAAAAGTTTCCGTTGTAAGACTAGGTTGTCCCCTGTATTTACTCCTTGCGGATATTGTGTATGAGAGAGAGCCATTTGCAAATTGTTCTCCTCATCCATCAATATACAATCATTAAAGTTGTTGGTTGGATTATAACACCGGTAGCATCCGTAAATAGAAAGCAGTGATCCAAACTACATGACAACACAAAGAGAATCATGATAAACAAAACAAAACATAAGTAACAGAGTACAAAATGTTGAAGACTAAAAACTGTGGAATGCTCATGGAAATTGATAGACATTCAAACAACACATCTGATGTATCGATAGACATTCAAGCAACACGTCTGAAATATGATTAATATGAATAAGATGCTGCAATGGAGTAAATCCCCCCCCCCCCCAAGATGCAATAGAGTATAAAAATCACTGCAATCAGCCATGAGCCTGTGATACATACCAGAAAGTAAATTGTTACCAACATAAATGTCCACCTGTGCAGAAGAGTAAAAATATATAAATAAATAATCACCATTTAGGTAAATAGAATCATATCCAAATTCAACGCTTTGCAATTTTCGAAAAATATAAAACTAGATACTCTGCAACCTGCACATAAGCAGGTCATAGATCATTGTAAATACCTTAGCTAAGATTGAATTAGCAATATATATGACAACTGCAATTAAATATCCCTTAAAGGTGGACAAACAAAAAGCAAACTTACAATAGAAAATCATTAGCATCAGAAAATGACTTACTGAGTGTAATAGAGAAACAGGTCAAAGCCATGAACGATAACATCAGCCGTAATTGCTGCTAGCAGTAAAACAAAAGCAACTAACCGGAAAACCATCAAAAGAACTGGATGTAATTCTTTAATACATGGCCTCCAAGACTCATCAAACCAGTAATGCCAGGATTTGTCTCGCCACTTCACCCCTCCATCGGACCCGGAATTATCCCTATCTAAGCATTCGTACTTCCATATCAAGACTAACGATATAACTATGGATGAAAGTACCCAGGTTTCACAGAGAAAAGCCTTCCAATTCAACCAATAACTTTGGGCAGAAGGGTCACCAGCCAATAGGTGGTGCATCCTCTCAAAGATGCAACTTTTCTTCCACTTCCTGCAAAACAACGTTTTTTGGATATCTCAAATTCACAAGATGCATCCTTGACATATCATAAACACATGCTAATGACTTGATCAAAAGCTAAGAAATTGATCAACATGGAAATCGGCTTAAAGTGCTTGTGTGTTATTACACCGCCTAGCAGCCATGGAAGAGGAAGCTCCAAAGCAAATTACAACACTGGGAAATACATGTGAACCCTAAATTGTACTGTATTCATCGACATATACCGATACGGCACTCATGAATTGGTACAGATAGTAGGCACAACATATACGAAACACAAGAGTGTGCAATGAGTACTTTAACGGGACGAATGAGTTTGAAGATCAACAGACAAATATATGCGCCTACCTTCAGGTAGTCTGGAGAGGATAAACAATGGATAATGAAGCTCTGGGCAGTGTCACTGCCGCCGTTGGTGGAGGGGTGGAGGTGAGCATTGACAAGTAAAAAAATGTGATCTTTTTTATGGATTAAAGGCAGCTGGAGAAGAGGTTCGGAGGTTTCTGGTTTGTTCTTTCTTCATTTTTAATTACGGAGTATAAATTTATAATTATGTAAGTAGTATAAATTTGAAGAGTAAATGCATCTGAAGGTCCCATTCAGAAAGATTGGATCTAGAACTTTCACCATCTCCTTCTTACAAAGATTTCAACCAAATAGTTAAATTTTATGTGTAAATTTAACTATTACACGTTCAAATTATCTGTATATATGTTCAATTTCTATTTTTTGCATTTTTAGACAATGGTTTGCATTTAGGAAACTTCTCGAAATAGGATTAAAACAGTTTGAAAATTCCAAAATAGGATTGTCGTGTTTTTATTCCCAAAATAGGAGTAATTACTACCAAGTTTGGAAAATACTGTCATGTTTGAAGTCTGATACTGCCAAAACATGACAGTAATTAGTCCTATTTTGAGAATGAAAATATGACAATCCTATTTTTGGAATTTTCAAACTTTTTAGTCCTATTTCGGGGAATATCTCTTTGCATTGGGAAACTTGCCGAAATAGGACCAAAACAATTTGAAAAGGGTATTTTAGCCCTTTCATTTAATTTTAGTCACATTTCCGTCCTAATTGTAAGTTGAACACGTTTTTGACTATTAAAAGCCCAGCAGTATTATTTCGGCCATTTATTCTTAAACATAACTCACTACACTATTCATTTTAATGTAATCAGGGTTGGTTAACCAAAGATTCTTTCTATACAAAAAAAGAATTTCATAACATTATTCATTTTTTGTGAGGTTGGTTGCAGTTTAATGTAATCAGGGTTGTGGCAATGTTTTTTTAACAATGCAAATAAATGAGCTGGAGAAATCTCAAGTAGCAAATGGCATCCGAAATCATCACATTTTTACTCTAAGATTGTCCATTCGTGTCAAATTTTAGATTTTTTTTTGTATTCATTTGATTAAGCTAAAATGCTAACTATCCCCCACTCCTAGAGTTTGTCTAGGAAGTGATAAAAATCACAAACAGATCGAAGTTAGGGTGAAGCACAATCATGAAAGATTTGGTCATTGGACTTGATTTGGTGGAGTCATGGGAATGATATAGTGCATTTGCATTACTTGTTCGGTTGATTGCATGTCATTATAAATCAAGGAAGCTAATGTTATCTAAGATTTGAACTATTTTTGAACTGTTATCTAAGAATCGATTTCTAAATAGTAAGTGCAAAATGGCTTACTTTTAACGTTTATCCTACTTTTTCTTGCCTTTAATTTTAATACTCACAAAGCTCATTGGACGTTTATCCTGCCTAACATTTTTTTTCAATACACTCATATGCATAAGTGTTTAAATTCATTTTGTCACAACTTAGTGATTGTCTTTTTAAAACATTACAAAGTATTACACTATAGGATTAATCATAATCCCATTTTCACAGGTGTCTCAACATGATGTTTCAAACAAATGTCTTATCGGGTCGAGACGTAGGACCCTTCAGTGTGGGAATTCAACCTTCAAACATAGAAAGTAGAAACCTTGACCTGCACAGGTAGCTCAACGGTGACTGAGTGAGATTGTTAGATTGAGGTTTCATGTTCAATTTCCGACAACGGCAAGGGGGTACTTATCTAATGTGATGGCTTCTTGTGTGCATCAAACCATGAATCACCTCACTCATAAATCATTTGATATCATACCGTGACTTACTTCTTCACCATTATGTTGGTCGGGTGTGGGACGTTTGGAGTGTGCAATTCCACCTTTTGGATTAGAAACCTAGTAACTGAGGCAATACTTTTTTAGTGACGGTCCACAGGGGATTCGGGGTCTCTGGCTTGCTCTAGCAGCAAGGTAGAGTGCCTAGCCGAGGGCTACCGTCAAATATAGAGCTCAACGGTCGAAGATTATTGAAGTCCACTTTTTCGCGTATCTCGAGGCGCTCCTCTTCCCATCCGGCCGGCCATTGCCAAGGCACCCCCTGGTCGGTCTTTCATTGAGCATGAAATATTCTCTATTGATTATTATGGTTTTTGTTCCCGTATTTATCAACTCTTAAGTGCATGGAGTATATGAAATATGGTACTACTTGTGAAGGATCTCAATCCCTCCACATGGAGGAAAGTGTTAGTTTAGTACATCAAATCGTAACTGATAGAGTAAAGAGTACTTGATGATGCAATCGAGGCTGAGAAGTACATAAACTCTGCTAATCAGTGCTAATATAGTCCTACCAGACATTATGTGAGATAAAACGCTGAGTTGGCAATTATTAATGGAAAACCCTTCATTTTTATTTTTAAAATATTTTGAAATTATAAAAGAAGTTCAATTGGCGTGCAAAATTGCATAAAACCCCTTCAATCCCTGAAGTTGCACGCCGGCAACGCATGGGAAATGACGACATGAAAGTCACGGCTTGGACAGAAGAGGTGATAGTGCGATGACAACCGTCGAACGAAGGAATTATAATTTCAGATCTGGTGGGTGGTGACTTTCAGCGAAGGGATCTGGCGGGCGGCAACTTTCAGAAACGGGATCCGGTGAGGAAAGATGGAAGCCGCTAGCTAGATTTCTGATGATGAGAGAAGCTTTCTCGAGCCACCGTTGATACTCCTTTAAGGCATATCCAAAGGCTTTGGCGTGATGCTCCAGAGTGAGGACGACCTGCATCCGAGGCTGGAGTGCTCGTTCAGAACTTATTCCTAGAGTCCCTCTTGAGAATGTACTGTTCATCGTATGTGGGCGGCGGCCTTTTGTGGCTTTTGGAAACTGCTGAACGCAAGAGCCGGGTAGTGAGAGAAGAACGCAAAGGTTGTTTGACTCATTGACTGTATCTTTAATTTTGCCGCATCAGTAAACATTTGGCCATGTCAGCTTTAATTTCGCTTAAATACAACCTGGTACCAAATTAACACTCGTTTGGTCATTTTATGTACTTCTCAGCCTCGATTGCATCATCAGGTACTCTTTACTCTATCTGTTTCGACTTTGTGTACTGAACTGACACTTACCTCCCTCCACATGTGAGTATTTACCATTTTACCTGCTAATCCGTTATTGCAGAAGAAGACTTGCTCCGTTCTTTCGTGTTTAACAGTACTTTTATCAAAAGCCCAATTGCTTGATCATTGAAAATTCTTAAACCCAAATTCATGCTATTCCCATTATTTCAATCGGCAATCCAGAGTGCATTCACTTTCCCCCCCACTACGAAGTTCACCCGCCGGAGTTGAGGCGGTGTTCACTGCAATAAACCCAACACTATGGTGCTTCAAGATCTCCCGGACAAAAAATTGTCGTTTAATCGCACCATTAAGTACGGAGATTTAGTAATTGTGTATGAAAAGCACGACGCAATGAAAGCCGTGATGGTTTCAGAGGACGGGGTTGTACAAAATCGTTTCGGGGCGTTTAAGCACTCGGATTGGACAGGAAAACCTTTCGGATCCAAAGTATTTGGACATAAAGGAGGGTTTGTTTACCTGCTGGCCCCAACGCCGGAGCTGTGGACACTCGTTCTGAGCCACCGGACTCAGATTCTGTACATCGCTGATATCAGTTTCGTGATTATGTATCTGGAGATAGTTCCGGGCTGTTTGGTTCTAGAATCGGGAACGGGTAGCGGCTCATTGACCACTTCGCTGGCGAGAGCTGTTGCTCCCACCGGTCATGTTTTCACATTTGATTTTCACGAACAGAGAGCTGCCTCTGCTAGGTATTTTTTCCCTTCCTGCGTATTAACAATGGCCATAACTCAGTAACCACATCTTTTTCCTACTGTATATCAGTATATTGCACATTTTCCTTATATAGTATGATTTGCTTTACTGGAAAAGTTCATGTTGATTATGTCAGTTGATTCATTCTAAGATATACATAATACCTGAAATGTGTGGATACTAGACTTGGATTTCTCGTTCTGTTAACAGTTAACCTAAAGTTAACAATTTGAAGGAGTATACTGTTAAACTCAGTTATATATCAGTATGTTCTTTTTCATAGTACCTTTACAGTTCAAAAAAATATTATACGTAGTAGTAATTATAATAATAACCATACATACCTAAAATATATTGTACACCCTCCATCTAATGATGTTTCAAAACTCCATTTTTTTTTTCAGGAAAGCCTTATGTAAGCAAAAGGGTCAATTTTCATTGAATTTAATAAATAAAAAATCAAAATTTACTAAAAGAAGTAGAATATGTTTAGTTTAGTTTTAAAAATCATGTAATTTACCGGATCTACTCATTACCAAACATACTGAAGTTGTACCTTGATGATATGACTCTTTCCTGGGAGGGATTAATATTCTAAAACTAGGGGGCTGGCATGTATAAAATCAAGTATTAAAAAGGCTTGTTTATACTTTATACGGAGTGATAATTATCACATGTGGAAAATATTTTCAACCCCCGCCCATGCCTAGATTTAGCCTAGAATGGACTATTGGAGCATTACACTTCCAAGGTGAACTGCTAAACTTTGAATGAGTCTCTAGTGATAAATAAACTTAGAAATTTATGGACACTGTAAGTTTGGTGACACTAACCCAAACAAAGTTGAGGATGATAGTAAATTACTGGTAAATTGGTAATGCTTCATTGTTGAAGAACTTGACATTTTATTTTGTGCCCGTTTGGTGACCTCCTTTTGTGGCTTATTAGCCTTACCAGTCATCAGTTTCACCAAACACTCAACTTTTGATTTCAAGTGCTGAATTGTGTAGTAATTAAAATAAGTAAGGTTGAAGTTACTTTTCTGGTTGAATTGGCTGGACTTACTATAGAGGATCGTTTTTATTTTTATTTTATTATTAAAATATACTTTAAATCTCATTTTTTTCATAATTGAGCAGAATCAGTCAATTCAGTCATTTCAGCCAGTTTCGTCACAATCAACCAGTTCAGTCAATTTCAGTGTTACCAAACAGGCTCTTTGTAGTAGCCAATTGAGCACTTTTTCAAGGTTTGTGACTTTGCTGTTTGCTCAAGCCTTTTATCTCCCTGTAAGCATATGTGATCAAAAAGTTTTGTGATGTCAACATTTTAGTTCAGTTAATGTGATCTGACTCACTCGCTAGAATTCAAAATCTTCCATAAAGGGATGATTTTGAGAGGACAGGAATAAGTGAGCTAGTAAAAGTTGGGGTGAGAGACATACAAGGTGAAGGGTTCCCTGAAGAGTTCACCGGAAGGGCAGATTCTGTCTTCCTCGACCTCCCTCAGCCATGGACAGCCATACCTTCAGCTGGGAAAATGTTAAAAGAAGATGGAATCTTGTGCTCCTTCTCCCCATGCATTGAACAAGTCCAACGCTCGTCTCAAGAAATGGAATCTCATTGTTTTACAGGTAACTGATCTCATTTTTATGCTGAACTGTTTGTTGGGGCAAATTATATTTGGGAGAAGCAACAAATATCCCGGGACACAACTGTCGGTGCTTTATTCCCTGGAGCACAGGAACTCTCTAGAAAGAGCGTCTTTTTCAATAACTTTGAGAACTCTTTTTTTTATACATCGGAAAGTAACTTTTAAAACTCTTTAGAAACACTTCAAACACTCTTTTTTAATAAAGGGTGGTGTTTCCTGTTTCCCTGCAGCATATCATGTTATATCCCTCAGATACATGTTCAAGGGTATATTTGTTCAAAGGCAATTTTGTTCACCCCTCAAAGGAGGGTGATGTTCATCCCCACCCTATTGTGCTGCTAGGCCGCATATCCATTCATTTTTTTTGCAATTGCTATAACGTTTTCATTTATGGTCCATTTTTTTAAAGAATATATATCAATTATTTAATTTTTATGATCTTTCATATGGTACCAATATAGCATATTTAAATTTAAAAAAATAATATGGGTATAATATATATTTAGAAAAATAGATTTTTTTAAAATATTTTTATAGGGAGTACTGGTACTATTGGAAAGATCATTAAAATATACTACGTATTTAGTTTGATACTACAAACTCCCCCCGGTTCTAAAACAAGTTTCGGTTTTGACTTCACATATTAAGAAAATAAATTTAACTTTAATGTGGAGTGCACTGTTTGGCAATGTTTTGATGTAGATAATTTGCCAAATAAGGAAATGTTTGAAAGTGGAACTTAATTTTGGTACTGTTCAAAAAGAAAAGGTTGAACTAGTTTCTGGGATGGAGGGAGTATATATTTTTTATATAAAAATTGGACTAAAAATAAAAAGTTAACAATTTGAAAAAAGAAAAAAGAAAAAAATGCACTGCCACATGGCAAGCAGGAAAGTGAGGGGTGACCACTACCCTCTTTAGGGAGGGTGAATAAAATCAGGCTATTTGTTTTGGCTTGATGATTCTTGTGTTTTATTGTCCTAGAGAAAGTTGAGGGGTGTATTTGTGCTTTAGCATGTAGTTCTGATGTAGATATGTTCTTTCTGCCTTGTTATACTATAGTGTGGCATGAAGGAATCTAATGTTGTTTACGCTTTTATGTATGTGCATAGATATAAGAACATTTGAAGTGCTTCTCCGCGCCTATGAAGTTGGGAAGAAAAGCATGGAGAACAGCCTGAACAAAGAAGAGTCCATTGAGGAACATACACAGAAGAGAAAGCGAGGGTCTGGAGGAGACAACTGGAGTGTGATGGTGAGGCCTTCTAGCGAGGCAAGAGGGCATACTGGCTATTTAACATTTGCCAGGCTTAAATGCGTTAACGGTCCTGTTTTTAAGGAAACCTAAAGGATTTCATAATATGAATAGTGATGAATCATTTTTGCTTCAAAAGTCAAAACAAATCAAATTACAATTTATTCCTTCTGAGCACATCACATGTGTTTATGGAAACTTTGCTTCAGTGAGATTTGCATCTCATTAATTATGTTGTGTGCACAACAGCTAGGAGACTACAAATTAGATCTCATTTGATGTTGAGGAAAACGGGAATTAAGACGGAGAAAAATGAAAAGGAATGAAAATGTGGTGAGGGGACATGATAAAACTCGAGAACTTTATTCTGGATACATTGATACTCGTTTTACTTGTTGATATCTATCTATTATCTAAAGACTGAAATTTACATTACGTAGATAATGATTTAAGTAATACTAAACCTAAGAAAATTATTTCTTTTCTATACCAACTCATTTATCCTTTCTTAATGTGTTCTTTTAACTGATTCGGCAAAAAACACTTTATTTTTTTGCGATTGCTTCTAGTTTAAAAAAGTGACTTCTTAGAGTAATTTTGGAAAAAGTGTTTGATAGTAAAAATAGATAATGTTTAAGAACAAAATGTTTCTGAAAAATGTAAGTTGGTATTGTTTGGAAAAATAAATGTTTTTGTGTAATAGAAAAACGTGAAAATCAATTTAAAACACATTTCACCTGCTTCCATCTTTTTTGTTAAGTGTTTAATTTAAACACTATTTGAAAATACTCATTTCAGTTTTTTTCAAGAGCTGAAAAACACTTTAATTTTCGCAAACACTCCCTTAGAATGACCAGGAAGCTTTCCATTTCTTTTTTTAAATGCACTTGAAATTTGCTAATTGTACTTGGTGAAAATAAAGTTTGAAACAACGTATGTATAACATGGATATCCAAAAGACACCAGGATTGCGAAACTGGTTTTGAGCTTAAACTTTTACCAGTACTTCAAGTCTTCAATGAAGGAAAAATTCCAATAAATGTTTTACTGCAAATGGATACTCCATCTGCCTCCCAAAGATATCCGAAATAAAATGTCTACCTAAAATCATCGCATTATCAAATTAAATTTGATAATGTTTTTGTAACAGTAAACATTATTATTATATGGATAGTTTATCAATTCACTTTTCCAGTTTTCCTAAAGATACCTCCAATTAGGAGTGGAGAGAGACAGTCAGGTCATTCTCACCCATAACTGAACCGGAGTTCCAGGCCAAATCTGATGGCTGGTGTTGGACTGTTGGAGAGACCCACTTAAGTTCATGTTTTTTGATAATCTAAATTTTTATAGTTGGGAACTATCCAAAACTGGGTAGATAAATGGACCAAGAACCAGCGGGTGAACCGGACCTGGAACCAATTGGTTTACCCCATGTAGGGTTATGGTTTTTCCAACTTGGGAACCGGAATAAACCATTCTAGAATCAGAACCAAATCGTATATTCGTATCTATCACTACAGCCGCCCCAATAGTGACAAACAAGACAAGAGAAATGAAGAAAAATCAGCAAGTGTTTCTTTTAAAGAACAGGAACCATACCACAAGTACATTAATGTACATAAGTAGTTTTATAAGCTTAACCCCAGAATTTTCAAACTTCCGCTACAAGGGCGCTATCATACTTCATCATAGTAAACAAAACATTCTGTAGCTGTTATTCAGATTTACATAAGGCAAAAACCAATTAGAAGCTGATCGCACATTTTTTTCTAAAGTTCTAGCTGTCAAGCAAAAGATGGAATAAATACATAAAAAGAAAGGCAAGGATGGATATATCCCCATTAATATAACTACTCAGGGGTCTCACCAGCCTGAACCCTCATTCCTGTTAGGACTAGCAACCCTTGGTTTCTTTGCAGCAGATTGCATCATCATACGCTCATGAAAACTGAGACCACTGGAACCTCTTCCAGAACCATCATCATCCCGTGAACTATTTTGTCCATACCTAAGGTCAAAAGACAATTATTTTTATTAACTCTCAAAGTTGAAATAAAAGAGGAAAAGAAAAGGCAAAAACACATCAAACTTGGAAGAAGAGAAAGCTAAAGAGAAACCTGTCATTTGACTCATCATGGTTGTCTTCTCGACCTTTTCCCGCAGATGATGACATACTCCAACCACCCCTTCCTGTGTCTCGTCCTCCACCATACCCAGAATCTTGATGTCTTCCATTTCCTCCACCACCATAGCCAAAGCCACCATTTCCACCACCATAGCCAGAGCCACCATTTCCACCACCATAGCCAGAGCCACCATTTCCACCACCATAGCCAGAGCCACCATTTCCACCACCATAGCCAGAACCACCATTTCCTCCACCGCCATAACCAGAATCATAGTTCCCACCGCCACTGCTCCATTGACGACTAGGCCTCCCCATTCCACCACCACCACCGCGTGAAGCAAAATCACGTAGTTCATCCGGAACACGCTGGCTTGCACCTTCTAAGATTTTAATGAGATCCGAAGCATACTTCCCATCCTTGTCAGTGAAAAATGTGTATGCCACGCCAGTAGCACCTGCTCGGCCTGTCCTTCCTATTCGGTGCACGTAGTCCTCTATTCCAGTTGGGAAATCAAAGTTTACGACAACCCTGCCCCAAAAAAGGAAAACCCAAAACCAGTCTCACATGCAGGAGCAGAAGAATAGAATACTAAATACATCTGCATGCTTTTCTTGCTTTTCTGAAGGAGGTGACATGTTTTTTTTTGTTTTTGGAGTACGAGTAATATGGTAAGACAATAAAAACTGAAATCGATGATTATGAATTTTAGTTATAGATATCACTCCGTATAATACTGCCAGTAAAGGTAGATACCAACCTGATATCTTTCACATCCAAACCACGAGCAGCAACATCAGTGGCTACAAGAACCGGTGATCTACCACTGCGGAACTGATTCAACACAAAATCTCGATCAGCCTGACTTTTGTCCCCATGAATGGCTGCTGCTCCAAATGTTTGGTTGAGGTTACCAGCTAGTTGATCACACATCTTTTTTGTCGCACAGAAAATGATGATCTTTGACCCTGGCTCTTGGGATCTCAGTATTTCCTCTACCCTGCGTCGTTTTTCCATAAATGATAACACTTCAACATACTGCAGCACAAAAAGATTAACACATTACTCAAACTGACTAATAGTAGAGGAAAATTATAGGTAGCAAAACATAGATAAAAAATAGGAAAGAAAATGTAAAGGGAAATAAAAGAGAGTTAATTGATTAAAATTCAATGATTATTTTAGATATTAGTTTATATGCATTTATTTACGTAAATCCAGTGGACCAAGAAATATAAATATTTTAGAATTTTAAAAAGAACTAATTACATCTTGTTCACCTTTGATTTTACATGGAAAAAACTTGCTGTAGAATAAACAAACATTTTTCTCTATATTCACAAAAAAAATAACAGGCTTTAAAACAGAGGAAAATGGAGAAAGAGAGAAGAGCAGTGCAACAACCTGAGTAATAGACTTATTTGCAACAAGTTCATCAGCATTCCCTATGTTAACCTGGACTGGGTTAACCAATAGATCAGCAGCAATTTTACGGACCTCTTTTGGCCATGTTGCTGTGTACATCAAAGTCTGGCGCTTAGATGGAACCTCCTTAACGATCTTTCTTATCTGGGGTTCGAACCCCATGTCCAGCATGCGGTCTGCCTCATCTAATACCAAATATGATATTTGTTGAAGGTTAACCCTTCTCATTTCCAAAATGTCATTTAAACGGCCAGGAGTAGCCACCACAATATCTACACCTTTATCTAACTCCCTTAACTGGGGACCTTTGGGTGCACCACCATAGAGACACTATAAAATACCACAAGATCAATAAGAAATAAGTACGCCAGCAACTACTTTTCACAATGCAACAAGAGGGAATGGTTTTATAAAACAAGCAATATTATCAACTATCATTGTAATATACACGATGCACCACATGATTTCTATTATGTTTTGAAAAGATCAATGCAAGATTTGGTATTCATCACATAGAAGTGCATTAGGAGAAAAACATGAAATTGCATGTCATCTCTACTCCAGGCATGGTGAGAAAAGTAAAAAAAAAATAAGTCAAACCCTTCACTGTCACATTGGAAACATATCTCGAACAATGGACACGTGAAGAAAACATAGTATTGAAGAAAGAATTATTATATCATCAGAAGAGCTAAAGAAATAAACCATCATACCGTACAAGCAAAACGTGAAGAAGCACCAAACTTCACAGCTTCATCTTGTATTTGTGTTGCCAATTCTCTTGTTGGTGATAACACCAGAACAGTTGGGCCCATTTTTGGATTATTACGACGCCCTTTGAGATGCATAAAACTGGGAACCAAATAACCTAAAGTCTTGCCTGAACCAGTTTTCGCAATAGCTACTATATCTCGGCCTTGCATCGCTATAGGCCATGATTGTGCCTGAATAGGTGTTGGAGCAGAAAACCCAGCTTTTTGCATCTGAGAGAAAATGCAAACCACAGTTACTGAACACAAACATTTTAAACTTGGAATAAGGATACAAATATTACATATAGCTTCATGAAATACAAAAATTATGATTAACCTTTTTCCAAAAATATGATTAACCTTTTGTTTAATTCATTCATCTTTTTTTCATTATATTTTATATCAAAATTCTGCCCCAGCCTCCTCCCCCCCACACCTTCACAGCCACGGTGGGATCCGCCGCTGGAAAAGTTGCCAGAAACTGCTGCCGGAAAATTTACAAAACCGCTGCTGGAAATGTTTTAAGAGACTGCCACAGGAAAAGTCGCCATAAACCGCCGCCATATCTGATGATTTTTTCTTCATTTTTTTCAAAAATTGCCTTAAAAAGTCACCGGAAAATTTTATGAAGGTCACAGTGACATGTATCACGGCAGCAGTGAGCCAGTGACATCCGTATGTGACATGAAAGTCTGGTAGAGACATGAAAATATGGCAGGGACATAAATTTTTATGAGTGACATCATGTTTATCCAAATATATGACTTTTAGTCACATTTTTGTCCATTGTCCATACATAAAAGTGGTCACTTTTTTGGAAATTGGCTTGAATATAGTCATATTTAAGGGAAAAATAATTTAAACTTTCACATCTGATTGGCTCTTGTGTGGCACATGCAAGGAGAAGAAGAAGAATCCCCCATACGGGCAGCCAAATATGCAGCAAACCAGAACAGGAGGGCACCTCTTCTTCTACTTAGACCACATGGCGGAAGGAATCATCACCGTGAGCATTCCAAGTCAACATGGATGATACAGAAAGCCCTTCATAAAAATT